GCTACCGCTACCCCGAGCCGGCCAAGCCCAAGAAGGGCCAGCAGCTGTGGAACCGCATGAAGCGTAAGTGGGCAGCGTGGGGAAGCCAGGGCGCGGCTGGGCCTCAGCCTGGGCAGGGGCACGGGGTGCAGGGATTGTCCCAAGGCCTCGGGGGCTGCCTGGAGCTAGGCCTGCCGTTCCCAGGGGCTGGGGTGGGCCTAACTCCAGCTTTCGCTGCTCCCCACCCCCAGCCGCCCCCGGCACTGGTGGTCTCAAGTTCAACATTCAGAAGCGGCCCTTCGCGGTCACCAACCAGAACTTCAGCTCCGCCTCGGAGGGCCAGCACAGCGGCTTCGGCTCCCAGCCCAACCCCGAGAAGGCCCAGAACCACAGGTGACGACCCTTGTCCGGTACTCGGCACCCGAGGACGCCAGGCAGGCCCCGCTACTCTGGAGGGCGGGGTGGCTCCCTCGGGGTGGCTGTGAGCGTAAACGGGAGGGAAAGACGCTGGCGTCGAGCCTGCCTGTGCGTCAGCTCACGGAGCGGTGGCGGTGAGGGGCTTTGCCGGAGTGGGTGCTCCCAGCTGAGTCCCCACTTCTGCCCCTGCGCAGGGGGAACCTGTCCGGGAAGCCAGACGACTGGCCGCAGGACATGAAGGAGTACGTGGAGCGCTGCTTCACGGCCTGCGAGTCGGAGGAGGACAAGGACCGCACGGAGAAGCTGCTCAAGGAGGTGCTGCAGGCCCGGCTCCAGGATGGCTCTGCCTATACCATCGACTGGAGCCGGGAGCCTCTGCCCGGGTGAGTCCAACCTGGAGATGAGGCCAGGGCTGCCTGGGTGCTGGGCAGCGGCTAGGGCTGCCTGGGTGCTGGGCAGGGCCGAGGGTTGGAGCTGAGGCCCGCGGAAGCAGGTGGGCGAATCACCAGGGTGGAGTGTCCCTGGGGCAGCTGGCCGGTTGGGTGGGAGGCGTGGGTTGGTGATGTCCTGCTCTGTCCTCAGGCTGACTCGGGACACTGTGGCAGAGAGCCCCAAGAAGAAGCGGTGGGAGGCCCCCAGCAGCCTTCACCCTCCCAGGGGGGCAGGCGGCACGACCAGGGGCGGGGGTGCCCAGTCACAGCCT